CTACAGTAAAATCTAAATTAAAGTAATTCATGTTTAACTAGATTACCACAACATACAATTGTTCATATTTAGTTAGATCAGCCAATTCATATTTTCCACGATTGGAGGGATCACAAAGTTAATATTACACAAAATTTGAGCCACTAAGTACTCGGAATTAGTACGAACAAAGCTAAAAAGACAACCTTTGAGAAATAAGAAACACCAACCGCTTAAATAGCAGTCAAATCCTTCAGGTTGAGCAAATCTGATTTCTTCATAAACCCTTTGGAAATTTCTTATTTTCGATTGCTTTTCGGTTTTGATAATACTTGATGTAAAGAGTTTCTCCCACGATGTTGTCAATCAGGATTGCTTCTCAAAGGATTGCCAATAGAACTATGTCTTGTCAGCTTCTTTCTGGTTCTCAAAGCTTTGATCAGTTTGATTATGCTAGTTGGGCTCAATTGTGCCGCTAGAATATTAGGATTTTTGAGAAATTATATTATCAAGTTGTATGATTTGACTTTATGAGACAGTATATTATCATTAATTATATTACTAATAATTGAGCAATTGAGCAAGCATTTTATGAGAAAATAAGAGAATTTGTTAATCATGTCTTCATGTTTACAAGAGTATACACAAGTGATTTAAAAAACGCCAGGTCGGTAGGAATCACCCGGTCCGACCCAAAAATCGGTAACCCCATTCCGGTTCTGCATATATATATAGAAAAACAGTGGAGTCAAGAAAGGAACCGGCCATTCCGTATAGTAAAACGACACTTCTCTACAGTAAAATAGTGATCCAGACTGCTGATTTACCAATTCAGACTAGTTTTTGGCTGGTTCACTATTTTTTCACGTGTTTTTTTTTTTGCAGGTGTTTTCTCTACACAGTAAAATGACAATTTAGACTGCTGATTCACCGATCAGGACCGATTCTTGAGGTGCCACATCTGATCACCTATTCGTTTTTTAAATAATTGGTATACACTATTATTATGGACATGTTATGATTTAAAAATAAAAATAAAAACAGTTTTTTGATAATGAAAACAAATATTTTAAAAGCAACACAGCAGAAAACTTCAATCATTGTTTTCTGAACCATCCATCTTCACTGGTAGGGCTATGAGCCTAGTATTTGGTGAGCATTTATGTTGGGGTGTGTACGCTGGAATTTGAACGTAGACCCTAGTGTTGTGGCCTTACACCCTAACTACCAATCAAAGAGACTGAACCCTTGAAAAGAATGGTGTTTTGCAATCTAATACCTTCATTGAAGGGTACATATCCCTAATTTGGTGGCTTTTTTACTTTTGTTATGCCCTAACCAAATGTCAACCTGTTTTCTTTGTTTTCTATTGTACTTTCTTCCCTTTTCTTTATGATTTTAATATGATTTGTCGTGCTATGGTTTGGTTTTTGGATTTAATACTTCAACCTATTCTAGATAGGCTTGTGATATGGATTAGTTAGGGTTTTGGAGTAACTAATTCATTGATGGGTTCATGCCTAATCCTAGCTTAACTATAAAATATACAAATATGATAGCTTTATGTACTATTCATGTTGTGTATCGTGGATAGAACCTTCCAAGCTGGTGTATGTCTTGCAACAACCAATCAATTATGAACCACTAAGACCTCTTTGCCTTTTTTTATTATTTTTTTTAAGAGGTCGACGCGCATTAAATTGTAGAATTAAGGGGCACCTTAAAATCTCTCTAAAAAGGCTGTTTTGTTGATGAAAAAACATATGATTGATCATCATGGAAAATATATGGATATGGAGAAAAGAAAGATTTTTCAAATGTCAAAATAGTACATCTTGCGATATTATCTGAAAAATCCATTTTCATGATGTTTATATATTTATAAATCGGCTTGATTTGAACCACTTTTTTACTTTAAAATTTTGCAACTAGAGAAAAAAATAGAATCTCGTGCCATCTTAAGAATTTTCACCCCAAAATTACATCTTATGACAAAATTTGAAAATGCATTCTTTTTTTTTTTTTTTCGCAAAGTCAAGATGAGGAATAACATATGTGGCTGCAACATTGATCACCTTCTGAATCAGCTGGGTTTGAAATGGGAATAAGTTTTTGGAAAATTGTTTCACGTGGGCTGGACTGCATTCCGACATATGCGGTCCAGAAGTATAAGGCATTCATCATCTTATGCAAGTAAGTGGTCCATCAAAAAACAATAGAAACTAATTGTTCAAATGTTTTCTTAATAAAATTATTATTTCTAATTTTTTAAATTTATTTATTTTTGTATATTCATGATCTCCATGTTCGAGATTACATGTCATTAAAAATTAAGTCCAAAAGTCCATCTGGAAAATAGATTTTCAAGAGGTGCCGCATTTCTACGTGTATGGGTCTCGCTGCATGCTAACCGTGTCCTATGTGTTTTTTTTTTTTAAATGTCTTCAATAAGAGCATTACAAATTTCAATCAAAGAAATATACCCTTTTAGGCCCTAGATGTGAAAAACAATGGTTGGTGATTACTCAACTAAATGGAAAAATGTGATGGCCAATCTTGGGAGTGTGATTTATGGTGCTAAAAAATGTCTTGCTCTTATTGTTTACAATCCTAATTTGAAATACGAGAGGGGAAAGGTTTCTATGCTTTCCCTATAGTATAGAAGTTCTATCCTCCCTCTACCATCCAGCCGTCCAATTTTGACCAAGAGAGCCATTCACCATTTGATCTTAGATCCGATGTCTCAAAGTATTTTATTTTTAGTTTTTTTTATACAGATTGTATGAATATGAAATTTGGTACGTGTCATCTTTTCATTGGGGCGCACCTATAAAAAATATTAAAAATAATTTTTCGATAAAATATAATGACCAAAATACCCCTTGAAATTTTCAAATGTATTTTGGTCATTTTATTTTATGGAAAATATTTTTTTTATATCTTTCTCTAGTGTGAGTTTAATAGAGGAACGGACGTCCAAAATTTGGTGTCAAAATAGTTTATAGAAAAAAAAATAAAAATAAAATAGTATAGAGACGTGACATTGTGATTGGGGCAATCTGAGCCCTCCATTCAGAATGGACGGTTGGATAAAGGGGAAGATAGAACTTCTATGCTTCATGAGAAAAACATAAAAGAGAGAATATTTAAAGGAAAAAGTTTATATAAAGTCAAGGCTCTAAACAATCAAATTAGAACCCACCTCAAAAATTTCACTAGGAAGGTTGTTTTGATGCCCAAATATCTTCAAATTGATCATCTCGAAATCAAGATGCATGGACATGAGAAAAAATTAATTTCAAGCTTTAGCGATAGTACACCTCGTAACATATTTTTGGACCGTCAATTTTCAAGATTTTCATAGATCTATTTAATCTACACTATTTTTAAAGCTTTAAATTTTATAATTAAAAATAGAAATATAATTTAAGGCTATCACAAAGATTTTCAATATTGAGACCACATTTCTCGATACTATTTGAAGGTGTGCTTTATTTTGATTGTTCAGAGTCTCAGCTCTATACAAACCGCACCCATATTTAAAATAAAAAGCTTGAGAGAGAGAAACAGAGAGAGGTAACTTATGAAGCACACACCTAAGGTTTCTTTTGCTTGTTTTTTTTCACTTTTTTCCTGTGAATATTAACGTGTTTTCCTTTCCTTGTTTTTATGGTAAATTATTGTTTACGATCCTAATTTGAAATATGAGAGAGAGAGAAGTGAGAATTCCATTAGAGAGAGAGAGGGGTGAGAATTCGAATTCCATTAGAGAGAGAGAGAAGGGTGAGAATTCCATTCTATTGAAGGGCCTAATCAAATCAGATTTCCTCATCTGGAGCTGAGAATCCCATTCTCTCGAAAGGTCTAATCAAATAAGATACAAATAAATCAATTTCCTCATCTGGTTCACACTCATTTATCAAATTAAATCAAATCAAATCAAATAGGCTAATCCAGAAGTTATTTGCCTTGCAAGCAAGACAATATGCACCTGCCCAACCAAGAGAGAAGGAAAAAAAAAAAAAAAACAAGGAAAAAGAATGTACATAATGTGGATTTACATTGACACTTCACTCTCACCCACTCCTAAGTTGGATGAATCAGAGAAGAAATCAACCATAATTTGCATAACCTTGACCTGCATTTGCAAACAGGTAATATAGTCTGCTGTCTCCCTAAAGAGACCATCCAAACCCTCTGATTCACCATTGGGAACAAGCTTCTTCAAGGCCTCCACCCTTCTTCCAACCCCATCAACACACCTCTTCCTCTTCTTACTCAATGACCTTGCCTTTCTCTCCCTACCCAAAACACCATTCATCCTCCCACTTCTCCTATATTGAATTCTCAAAGCCCTCTTCCAAGAATAACCATATGGAGAGTGGGAGAGGGCCCTAAGTTGTAGGGTCTTGGTACCCTTCAAGCTAAGAGATGGAAGTAGGGATTGTATGTCTATTCCCATAACTTTTTTGAGCTTTTGGAGAAGAAAGAACCACTTGTTTTGGATCCCAAGAAATTTTTCTATTGCCTCTTCACAAGGACAACTCAAATGTCTTTGGATGGGGTTTCTATCACTTGGAGGTTGAGAGAGGAGGCTTTTAAATGGTTTTGCAAACCCTAGAGAAGCCTTGAAGGATAACCCTAAACATTATTGTTTATATTTCTTTGTTTTTGGACAGCAAAGCAAGCCCCCCTCCTCCAATTTATTCCTGTTTCCAAGAGTGTGGGATTCATGAATAGAGAGAGAGAGGAGAGGGGCTAACATGGGGTGGGCTTTGGGCAATTCTGATAATGCACATGCACTCACATGATTCCTTAAAACCTACCAACCTAACAAATAGCTTTTTCTCCCTTTCACACCACTTGCTTTCTCCTTTCTCATATAACACCCTGGATTATTCCTCATTCCCTACAAATACAATGCACCCAATGTGCTTGTAGGGGGGTCCTGTACCCTCAATACAGCTAAGCTAATAACATGTGTCACTAGGTGGAGGTGGGTCTCTTCTGATGTTTCCCTACAAGAAACCCTAGGGATTTCTAATCCAAAACATTGTTGATGAGACCCTTTGTCAATGTGAAACACAAGGGAGCCTTAAAATCTTAATGTTGGGATAAGGTGGGCAATTTTCCTTTGATGTTCATTGAACCTAAGGATTTCAATGTCCCCTAATCTTATTTATATTAATGGTTATAGATAGGAAGGGGGCTTATGTACTTGCAAACTCTTTGTGTCGGTTACCATAACAGGAAGAGGGGGACCAATGCAAACCATCACTTCTATAAATTCTAATGAATATTTTCCCTGTGAGACTTCTTAGGCTTCAAATAGCTTACAGTTTAGGGAAATTAGGCACCATTTTTGTATGATTGAGTGGGCACATCATCACGTGGTTATTGTCTTGGCCCCTCTCTATTATAGTCGATGTGTGGATAGAATTGAAGGAAAAATCGGGCGGTCTAACCGGTAACCGCCTGTTAGATCGGAATCGGTTTCGGTCGGTTTTGGTGACCGGTTGGGTATTTTTACTTTTAAAAGAAATTATATAAAATCTCAAAAAATAAGGGATTTTACTTGCAATGTATTTTTCAATGTTTTTCATCATTATGGCAAATATTGGAAATTGTTTTGGCCATTAATACTTATTTTTACATCTTTTTATAGAAAATTTCAAAATTACACCTGAGCACAAATCGATTTTTTAAAATCCATTTTTTCATTAATTTGCTTTGTTTAATCATTCTTTAAATATATTTTTCATATTTTATTAGATTTGTTTGTATTTTTCTAACACTTTTTGACCGCCCAGGACTTGTTTGGTTAGAACGGTTGAACTGACTGGTTTATCAATTAGGCTGGTTGAACCGCTTCCAGGTCTATGTCTGGTTAACCATTTTGGTTCAATTTTTCCTACATTGGTGGAGAGAGAAGGTATGTCCTCTAATAACCGTGTTTACATGAGTAATCTGCACCTAGAAAAAGTATAGCATCCTAGCATTAGGGTTTCAGACAATAGTTAGCACTTAGCACCTTCAACCATCCTATCTGAGTTGTTGGTCCACTAAAATGCCTATCAAGAAAATATGACGAACTTTGAGTGGAGGAATGACCGATGGTGACCACATATTTGATGGCCCGCGATATACTAGGGAACTGCAATATTCTAGGGGAACTCTGTGATCTAGCATTGTCTTTTTGGTATAGTAATGAATTATAGTTACAAAGACCCACCGAACTGGTGATTCAATTAGTCGAACCATCGAGTGGTGCTTTGCCCGGTTTGGTTCAAAGTAAAATAGACTTGGTTAATAATCAATTAAAAACAGTACTTGATCGATTTTGGCTGGTCCAACAAATTAATTTTGACCGATTTAACCAGCTATACAATTTATGAACAATTTTTTATATACATATTTCATACTACGAGTTCAACTAAGTGCTAAATCGATTCCGACTGGACTAGACTATTGGGTTTATGTGGCCTTTAAACGTCTTATGAGAGCTTGTATGAGCATTTTATATAGTGAAACATAAACTTAGTGGGAGTGTGGTCATCTTGTGGACCATACTAGGCAAACGTAAGTTGTCGATACTCAGACTAAGCTCGACGTGTTAGGCCAGTCGAGTTTGGAAAAACCCAAGATACCTGGGCATAGTTATCTATCGAGAAAGGTTTAGTGGGTTAGCCCTTGATAAGGTCGGAATATAGTCAGATGAGAGCTGAGAGACTATGTGGTCATTATGTGTGATGAATAGCCTTTATAGACAGGGCTAAAACCTCATCGTCATATCATCACACTACATGTACATAGATAGTCGTTTTGAGATTCGCCAATGAGGGTGAAACGTGTATATATACGAGAGATTACCCCTATGCACCATAGTGTCATGGTTGCATCATGGTCTGGAGGATCATGATTTTTTGTCTATAGAGGAGAACCTGAAATCCATAAATTGGGATTACGTCTCCTAGTCTACTAGCTGACTTTAGTGGTCCAATCTTGAGCCCCTACAGTAGACTGTGGGACTGCTAGGTCAGTTTGAGAAAGCTAGGTGGATCATGGCTGCAGTTGAAGGTGGAGTGCTCCCATATTTTGATAAATTCCTAGATCTAATGGATTCGATTCCAATTAAAATTAATTAGTTTTAATTAATGATTTTTAGAATATTTATTTGAATTTTTGTGAATCTTCTGATATTTTATTTTTGTTATTTGGATTTATAAACTAGATAAATTAATTTTTCAATGCTTTAAATAAAATATAATATTTAAAAATTTTAAATACAAAATAAAATATTTTCTAAAATTATATGAGATTTTCCATAAATATGGGGGTCAATTTAGAACATGTGGGATTGGGTGGGGCCCGTGCCCACCAAAGGGTGGCACTCCCCACCTATAAGGACTCACTTGTATTCTTTTTGGGTATAGCCAATTGGATATTTGAAATATATAAAGTATATTTTCTTTATTTAAAGATTTAATGGGAATAGATCTAGTAAATTGAGGATAAGGCTCTGGCTCAAATCTTTCATCCCACAAGTCTCATTAAATCGACAGTCAAGATTTGACCTTATGAATTAAGTCAAACCCCAAGGCATAGAAAGTCTATAAAAAGAGGCTCTCCCACCTTATGAAATCTTTACACCTATTTTCTCCTCTCTCTAATGGTTTATCTCCCTCTCAAAGATATCTCTATAGGTGGCATGCCCCACCTAGGGCTTCAAGATCTCTCCCAAGTTTTTCTAAAGGAAGCACGCTCCAACCAAAATCTCTCTCAACCCAAGAGGCACGCTCAAGTAATATCTGGCCAACTCTCTCAACCTAAGGGGTATGCCGAAGTAATCTCTTTAGCCAGGGGGCATACTCAAGTCATCTCTCTCGTTTCTAAGTGGCACACCTAAGCCAATGTTAGCTTGTAGTGGTTTGATTTTTGGGTAGCAAAGAAGTCAAATGCTATGTGGACGACCTGGTAGTCAAATCAAATAGCAGGGGAAATCACATAACAAGTCTCAGAAGAGTCTTCATGAGGCTTCGCCTCCACCAGCTCAAACTGAATCCCTTGAAGTGCACCTTTGGTGTGTGATCAGGGAGGCTCCTGAGATTCATTGTTCGATACAAAGGCTTGGAAATCGAATCCATCAAGATCAAAGCCATCCGAGAGATGCCTCCGCTAAGAAATCGATAGTCCTGGTCAAAAAGAAACATGGGCAGATCAGGGTGTGCATTGACTTTCAAGACTTGAACGCGGTCTGCCCTAAAGATGACTTTCCGCTTCCCTTTATAAAATTACTGATTGACTCCACCACCAACTGTCAGGCATTCTCCTTCATGGATGGCTACGCTGGCTATAACCAAGTAAGAATGGCTCCGGAGGAGGAGGAATCCATAGCCTTCTTGACACCCAAAGGTGTCTTCTACTACACAATGATGCCCTTCGGCCTAAAAAATGCAGGGGCCACTTAGGAGAGGATCTCCTTGCTAGTAGATATCTCCCTCTCTCTTTGATCTATCTCTCATCTATTGAAAGATTAAGCCAAAGGGGCTTAAGCAAGACTAATGCATTGAGGCTTTAGGTAGTTGATTCTAAATTGAGATCCATAGCTCTAAAGATAAAGTCAAAGGGGCTTGAGCAAGACTAAGGCATTGAGGTCTTAGGTAGTTGGTTTTAGATCGAGATCCATATACCGTCGAAAATTTTTTATCATATGTAGGAGAATCAAGAGACCGATCATAGATCCCGAGCACCATTGGAAGGAAGAGACTTGGTGTGGGGTGTGCAGGGTGTACTAAGCTCGGTTGAGGTAATATCTTGTAATTTTAATTTTTTAAATCTTTATTTGTGATTTGATCTTCTCTTCCCATAAATCAATGAGTTAAGGTTTTGATTTAAGGAATTGTATTCAATAGTGGTAGCAAGTGAGAATCATGTTTTTTTTTTCTTTTATTTATTTATTTCAAGAGTTATTTGTTTGTAATTGAATATTGTGAGTGGTCTTGCCGGTGTAAGAATAAAAAAAATAAGAAAAAATTTAATTTATATACACCGTGCTTGATCACATAGTCTAACTTTTATAGATCCCTGATTCTATTCCAATCCTAATAACACTAAATGAAACAACCTGAACATCCGTTGCTGACATCAAAGGATGGAAAAGTGGTAGTAAATTACTTGAAACCCAAAAGCTGGTATGGTACACAAACCTTTACATATTAGTATCCAGGCCACAACCTTAATGTACCACGTGCCAGATGTCTCCATATTTTTTGCTCTTCATGCACCTTGAGACGTACACTTCCACATAGTATGTTTGGAGGTTTATGGCTCTTGATCCCTTTGTTGTGTTAGGCAATACATAGAATTTGATTCTTTAGACATTTCAATATCATTGATTGTACTATGCCTTGACAGAAATTAAAAAAACGAAAAAAGGGCTCTTGTCAGAATCAAAAGTTACCAAAAGCGCCAACATTGGCTCACATCTATTAAGTCATACTCCTTCCTTTTCTGGTGCAACATTTTACTCCTGCCTAAAAGTTTTGTCCTCTTATTTTGAGTTGTCCTCTCTCTCTCTCTCTCTCTCTCTTTGTAAAATTCTCAGTGGAGATGAGTGTAATGCTAAGGACATGACCATGTGGTTTATGATCG